GAACCAAAGAGCTGTCTTGAAAGAAATGGTAGCGTCTGTTGCTACAGCATCAGGGTTATTTAGCAAGTTATAGTTAATAGCTTTTCCCGCTGGACCGTAGTTGTAATTGCTGCAGAGTCAAAGTCAAGGTCAAGAGTCAGCAATTGAAAAATTGCCCCTTCAATATGAGAAGTCATTTCCAAATCTTCAAGAATCATTTCCTTGTCAAGGCAACTTAAAAAATAATTGGGAAAAACTTATTATTGGATTTCACTAAAGTGATTAAGAAATTATTTGGGTTATGTTGAAAATATAAATATAAATTCTTTTAAATGTTATTTAAGTTAAATAATTTCAATAAATTATATTTATTATCTTTAAAAATTGAGTTTTATTTAATATATCTGAATAATATAATTTATAAACATTCGTTTTCCATGTTGCGGAGGGATTTCATTTTGTCTCTAAGTAGAAATATCATTAGAATATTTGAATTCCAACTCTTAACTCTTCTTTCCTTCACTTCTTTAAGTGGAAATATTATTAGAAAATTTGAATTTCAATTCTTAACTCTTCTTTCCTCCACTTTTAAGTTGTAAATAATTACTTTTGTTTAAATATATATATTTTATAAATACCCATAAGATTAATTAAGTTAAAGATTAGGATATTTATATTTATTAAAAAATAATAAATACTGTTCTTTCTTTGCCAAAATAAAGAAGGTAAATAGGAAAAAAAATTAAAAAATTATGGGACAAGCACACGAGGAGAGTAATTAGTTAATACTTACTATGAAATCTGGATGGGACCTCGGCCATAATACTTTTTGCCGGGTGCACAAGGCCACTGCTGACTTTGAACACAATAATCTCCAGGGTTACCTTGCTCCTTAACGTAGCAATAGCCCCATGCATATGGACCATCCGGGGCAGTAGCCCACCCACCTGTACAAGAGTCATTGATTACAAACAATCTTTCACATTTTGTGAAGGTTTTAATTTCAAAATTTCCGATTCTTGTAAAAGTTATATACTTAGGAAAAGAAAAAAAAGTATGGATAGATTTGTGAAATGAGGTATAGGAATTAAACCTGTAGTTTCATGAGAAGTTTGAGCTAAGAAGGCGGCGATCTCTCTTTTCTTAGTGTCTATGTCACCGGTGGTACCAAAAGCACCAAAGGAGTTGGCAGCGGCAATGAAAGCATCATAGGTGTAGAACCCCTTGGCAGGGCAGGCAGCATCGTTGCGATGTTTGAGCATCTCATTAAAGAGGTCTCGGCTGATGATTGAAGAAATATCAGCCAAGGCCCCAACTGCAGATGCCAGGGTGAACAAAACTAGAGCCAAAACTCTCATCCTTTTTCTCTTTTCCTATAACGTATGAAAGTACTCAAGTACTAGTGCTGGTTTTTGGAGTGGGAGATATAAAGGAGGGTATTTATAGAGCGAAGAATACTGTATTGGGAGACCTTATGGAGGCCAGGGGGGAAGACCCCCACAATTGAAGCACATACGGACGGTCTTTACGATTGAAATTAAGAAATTTGTTAGTTCAAGCTTTGATCTTTCTTCTGGACAATACATAAATAAGACGCAAATATTGACACTGGGTATAATGTATCCATGCTGTAGCAGGAAGGCAGCACTGTTAGGTACCCTTGCGGGACCGCCAGCTAGCTACAACGTAGGCAGCGGCGATTTTGTCCAACAAACGACCACATAAGTCAACAAAAATGGCTAACTTGCCGCTGTTTCTTACTTTCCATTCAATGCCTTTAGTCTGGGGACAATTCACAGAAAACAGAGAAAGGGAAGGTTGGGTGATTATATGGTTCGCATATGCATGGGCCCTATGGCCGGCTAGAAACAATTGTTTATTCCACGGAAAGAAACCGGAGATTGAAAGGGTCTACAATCAAATTCAAGTCAGCTCATGGGAATGGGTGAAAGCAAAATGCAAGAATTGGGATATGTCCCTCACAGATTGGATATTAGAGCCAAAAGAAAGCATGAAAAGGCTACGCTTCAAAAGGAATCAAATTTGTATGCAGCCTAATATGATGTAACTTGTTTATGGGATAGGAGTACCTCTTTACTCCAATATATATAAATAAATGCAATTTATCGTTCAAAAAAAAATGCCTTTAGTCACTGTTAGATTCGTTTGGGATAACGATTTTTGAAAAAGCAGTTGGGATTTTATCTAAATTATTTAGCATAAATATTTAATAAATTTATATATTTTGAAATTATTATAAATAAATTATTTGATAAAAATTT